ATCGGTTGCACTGCGCATTTGTTAAAAAAAAACACACTGTTTTGGGATTACCCTGACAGGCATGTCATACGTGTGTTCATCAAGTAGGGTTCCCCTTGAAATAACGCAAATATTGGCCGATAGGCTGCCAGAGTTGGAGTGCAGACTCGCACTACGTAGGGACGAATGATGGTAACAGGAGGCCAAGTAGGCGAAGGAGTGGAAGGAGGTGAACGAGACCCAACAGAGTAGGAGACGAGGGGTTGCGTCGAGGCCGACGTGCGCGACGCGCCCCCCCCCTCTTCTGTTAGGGGAATCCCTCCACGTGCCCATTTTCTGGCCCAGGGGGGCTCCGGGGAAGCGCCCCCGTCGCCAGTTTTCTGTGCGCTCGCCCCGAACACAAAACATGTACACGGCGGACCTGGAAGGGGCCTTCCTTTTCCTTCTTCTCATTCTCTTTTTTCTCCTCCTTTTCCTCCTCCTCCTCCTCCTCGTCCTCCTCCTTCTCTCTTGAATCCACTGCCACTCTGTTGGGCGGCAGTTCTATAGGACGGGCGCGGAGGGCGAAGGGTTTACACAGTTTTGAGGTATCCGTGAAATGAGTATGGGTCGGATTTGTAATGCGTCAAAGAAGCGCGCGTGCCCCAATCACAAACCTATATGCTGCATATAAGGACCGATGAACGTTCGCCTTGCGTCGTCCCCCTCCTCGTGACCCCCTCTTCTTTTCTCTCTCCCTGAAAGGTGCCAGGGGCATACGCGGGGGGGGCGGAAGAGCGTCTCCACCCTCCCCCCCTTACGCTATCACGATTATTCCCGTCTCCCTGCGCCTGTTTTGTCTTCCTGTCTTCTCCCCCCCCTTGCCAGAAGGAAGTTGGATAAATATCGCGCGCCACACGTTCGCGTCAGCTTGTTGCCGTCCGCGCGATTTTCAAAACAGAGTCGAAGGGGGTGGCTCTAACGTGCGCGTTTGGGCCTCGATGCAGACGTTGGCGGCACATTGCGGCCTTTGCCGCCATCCGAGTAAGTGTACCATGCGTTTGGCTGTGTCGTCGCAAAGCTGCGTTCATGCTGTCCACGGGATGATTGGGGAACCAATGTTTGACGCTTCGCGTATCCCCGCCATCCCATCCAAGAACATCGCCAGGCGCGTTCTTGTGACCACACTGGGAAGTGTAGATGCATGCAGTAGAACCTCCGCCTTCATAGAGAACTCATCCAGCTGCGCACGAATTTCTCTCACTACTGATGCCCAGACAAGTTGTTGTCCAAGGAGCCTCGTAGAGGGTTCCTGGAACCATCTTGGGGGGAGGGGGGAAGGATGGAGAAGGAACTGGCGTCGGGGGGACAGGGAAGACGAAGTGAACGCGCCGAAGGAAGAAGGGGGGGACGCATTCTCGGACTTTTTTATCACACAGGTTTGGGAGGACTCTTCGGGCCATCTTGGGGTCATTTTGTAACCCCCACCGGCGTCCTCTTGGGGCCCACTCGGCGCGGGTCGGCCGCTATCTTTTTAGATCTGAGGTGGAAAGGGGCAGGGAACGGAGGACGAGGAGACGGGAATGAGGAGGGCGAAGAGGAGTATGATAAGTTTGTAGGATAAAGAGGAGAAAAAGGGGGACACATAATAATATGAGAGTGGGACATTGGAAGCCGCGTGGATGCATGTGCGGATCGCTTGAGGCATATAGGAGGCAATATTGGGTTTTCCGGGGCCGTTTAGAAAAATATCGGGCCATCTTGGACATTCCTGTTGCGGACTTCCCACCCGTAACCCGTCCCGGGGGAGGCCAGGGGAGGCGTGGATCCATCCCCGAACGGGAGGAATGGGGGCTGGCCTTCGAGATGGCGTTCGAGTGACATTACCAAATCCACAGATCTGCTTGTGATCTTTGTAAACAGTTCTTCATTTGATATGTGTAAAAGCGAGCGGCCCTGGTCCGAATGCGCAGATTGTCTTATGGTCCGTGTACACATGTCATCCCTTGATCCGTGTAAATCCATCGTCGTCCTCTCCCGTCGTGGACACGTGCGGGGAACTTGCGGAATCCCCTCGGCTAGTCGAGGTGGCGCGCGTTTGATTTTTCGAAATGCACAGATCTTTTTTGTGATATGTGTGCACAGTTCCTCCTTCGATCTGTGTAAAAGCGCGTGGCCCTGGACCGAATACACAGATTCTCTTGTGATCTGTGTACACACTTTTTCTTGTGACCTGTGTAAATCCATCGTCGTCCTTTTCCGTCGTGGTCACAGGGAGGGAACTTTCGGAATCCTCTCGGCTGGTCCAGGGGGGGCCGTTCGGACGCGGCGGAATACACACTTCGTTGCTCTTGCGAGGGTTTCCAGGAGGGCGCGGTGCCAGGGGGTTGGCGGGGCGTAGGCGGGGCGGAGTTCGGGCGCCAGCTAATGGGCGGGGGAGGAGGGGCAGGATGGGGAAAGGGCGAAGGGGCAGGGAAGCTGCGGATTGCGCCAGGCGTTCAAGATGGCCCAGGAGTGCCTCCAGAGGGCCCAGCAATTCCCACGAAGGCCCCAAGATGATTTCGGGAACCCCGGAGAAAGGTCTCCCCGAAAGGCCCCAATATGACTCTGAGATGGATCCATGAGGCCGCGGAAATGCTTCAAAAGCAAGGTGCGCATCTGTACACATGTTTGAATCGTCCTCGTTCTCGCCCCTGTCGGAGTCGTCGTCGTCGTCGTCGTCGTCGTCGTCGTCGTCGTCGTCGTTCTCGCCGCGTGCTCCCCTACCTCCTCGCTCTCCTCTCCTCTTCTGTCTGCGTTAGAGCGGGCGCGGGCGGAAACGCGTCCATCAACGTAATTACGTTCTGTCGTGGCACAACTTAGGGATGGCATGTCGCTCAATGTCGTCATCCTGCGACTGGTTTTCTGGTCCTCCTACTCGGCGCATCGGGGTTGTGCAGCGCGCGCGGTGACTGTGGGAACGTGCGCCGAGTGGTTGGCGGCACTTCTGCGCGGTTGCACTCGGCGGCGCGCGCCCCTCATGCGTGGGCGCGCGCGCGCTGGCCTCCGGGCTTATTTCGATGCGTATCGAAGCCGATCTTGGGACATCCGGGGTCTTCTTGAGGCGATCTTGGGCCACCTTAGACCTCGGCATTGCTTGGACGTGTGCATGTTTCCTTCGGCGAGGACAATTGAGGAGCATCCTTGATCATCTGGCGAAAAAATCCTCGCATGAAACCAACAAAAAAACACAGGGAATGGACGTCCGAGCGATGGCGAGAGACGCTCGGCGCCCCCCCCGACCCCTGGGATGGTGGGTGGAGGGAAGGGCCGCGCCTTCCCAGCAGCGAAGAGCGGGGTCGGAAGAAGAGCAAGCGCTTTTTTAGGCCACGTCCGCCCAGGGAGCTGGTCGGAGTAGGGGTCCGTCGGCTGCAACAGGGGGGGCGTGGGCGCCCAACCGGGAAGTCGCCGCGCGCGAGGGCGCCCCGCGAGTGCGCGCGCGGCGGCGCCCGGGTCGGCCGGGGACAAGCAGGAAGAGGGGAAAGGAGGAAGAAGGGGGGAGGATAGAGGGGGCGCGAGGCGGGGCAGATCGAGGAGGAGGGAAGGGAAGGAGTGGGGGGACGGTGGGAGGAGATGAAGAAGGGGGCGCGCGTGCGTGGTGGCGCGCGGCTTCTACAGCGCGCGTGGCGGCAATAGGGCTGTGCGCCGCGCGTGGCGGCACTTGAGCGCGGCTGCAGTCGGTTCCGCGTTCCCGTCGTTGGGGGGCGCGGGCGGCGGCGCCTGGATCGGGGCGCGGGCGGGGGGGAAAAGCGGGCGAGGGGGGCAAACGGGAAACGTAAGACGACGACGGCGGCGCTGGCATGGCGGTGCGCGTCCATCTCGAAGGGCCCAAATCCACGACGTCCGTTAGCGTTGCGCTGGCGCCGCGCGCTGTTTCCATGCCCCAGATGCACAGATCAGCTCAACGTGCGTTCGCTTATTCGCCCCGTGACCCCCCTCTAGTAACAGACCAACGGTGGATTCCAACCTCCTCCTCCTCCTCGTCCTCCTCCTCCTCCTTCTCCTCCTCCTTCTCCTCCTCGTCCTCCTCCTCCTTCTCCTCCTCCTCCTCCTCCTTCTCCTCGTCCTCCTCCTCGTCCTCCTCCTCCCCCTCCCCCTCCTCCTCCTCCTCCTCCTCCTCCTCCTCCTTCTCCGCCTCCTGCTCCCCCTCCCCCTCCCCCTCCTGCTCCTCCTCCTCCTCCTTCTCTCCCTCATCCTCCTCCCCCCCCCTCCTCTTCCCCCCCCCCCCTCCTCGTCATCCTCCTCCTCCTGGGACTTTTGTCCTAAGCGGGTGCCGGTCGGACGACGCAAGGTGTACAGCAGCACGGCCCGCAGGCGGAACCTAGTTCGGGACCACATCAGGTTCCAGCGCGTGGGGTGGCGCATGTGTTGCGAGCAACTCTCGGGCCCAGGATGCGCTCAGGGGAACGAAGATTAACATAATGTGGCATAGCATAACAATTCAGAGGTCGGCGCGGATTTCTCGGATCCGCGCTAGACCCCCTTGGCGGCGCCTCCGGCGCCGCCCCTGGCGCGCTCCGCGCGCCAGGAAAGGGCTTCCAGCGCGGATCTGAAATCCCGCGCGGACCTCCGAGTTTTATGTTTATGTATGTCATCATTCGTTCCCCTAGCGATGTGCCAGGGTCGGATGGGTGCGGACGTGTAGCAAGCATCGCGTGGTCCTGCTCCCCGTTTTTTCTTCCTCCTCCTCCTCCTCCTCCTCCTCCTCCTCCTCCTCTGTCTCCTCATCATCCTCCCCATGTTTTTTCCTCCTGCCTCCTCCCCCTCCTGTCCTTCCTTTGCACGGACCTTCATCGCAGAGATATGGACGTCAGCTCTACAGTCGTGCGTGCACCGTCGGTCTCCTCGAAAAGCTTTCTCCTCTCGTCGTAGTCGTCGTCCTTGCGCCGTCGCTGTCGTCGTCATCGTCTTCATTTTTTTTCTCATCGTCCTCGTTGCCGTCGTCGAAGTCACCTCCTCGCGCAGCCTGGCCGCGACGCCCTTTGCCCCGCCCCCACCCGCAGGCCGAGTGGGAGGAGCGCTCGAAGACCCGCACCGACGAGCTCCTGGCCCTG